TCATTTCCCGATCTATGTGTGGGCTGTGGGGGTAAAGGCAGTGTTTGGATGTTTTTGAGTGTTTTGAAAGACTTTTACTCAAGTAATAGTTAGTTACGGTTGATGTTTGTTGGAACCCAAATCTGTCAGTTTACTAGTATCGCTCCTAAGCTCTTAAGAACCAAGTACTCATCTTTTCAGACGATCGGCTCACTCATCGATGTCGAAAAGGCTGAGCTGTTGTGATTCACCATGTCCGAGCAAGCGAGAAAAGGAATATGAAGAGATTTCCAGAAGTAAGCTATTCAAAAGTATTGATTTCCAGCGTTTTGTTAACAGATTTCTTTACCACTTGATGATCCGATCTCCTGTTTAGGTGTGGGTGTTGGTGCTCTCCCCGAATGGGATTCACCAGTACTGTCATGTGGTTGTACACGTGGAGCATGCACATCGGACTCAGAATGTGTGAATCGCGCTCTCTGTGTCCAGTGCCCGGGAGCATGCGCCGCTCCGTTGTGCGCGAATAAGGTACGTAAATAAGTACATTCAATTCTTGTTTTTCTCGGAATTTGTCTTTGTGTAGTTCTTATTACGGGCGCACATGGTCTTAGGTGGGTTGCCAGTTCCCATGATGCCTCCTGGGGACTTGTAAATTCCTTTTAAGCTATGCAGTAGCACCAGTTACACTTTGCAGGAGTCTCCAGATGCTACCATGGAGATACATGTGATTGGACAGGGAGTAGCAAAAGTAACTAGTAAATGTGCGGAATTTCCCCCCCCCCCCTTGAGCCGAACAGCGCCACGTTTTCTATACTATGTCTTTGTGGGTTATTTCGTTCGTCATAATATCAACAAACTTTATAGAAGTTCTGGAAAGATGACGCATGCAAGACATTGGCCGTGAGTGGTGCGAAGACTCGGAAAGTTTTACGAACGAAGCAAGCAAGACGAGCTGGCGACTTTTTGGTAAGATCTCGTCCAATTTTTCCTATTTTATTTCACCGGAATATTTAGTTGCGGTAGTTCAGCGTTTTTGCTCGAGAATCAGACGCAGCAGGTCACAAACTTTATTATATCAACAGAATTCAAATTTTTGTACGCATCTTTAGCAGTTTTTGATATCATCGATAAGGTTGTCGTCTTTGTGATATCGCATGTAAAAGAATTGGCGTCTATTTATTGGCGCTAGCAAAACATAACAAGTAACAGGGGATGGCATAATGGGCCCTGTTCGACTTCTAGGGGAATGGAAGCATTTTTCAGTTTTGCTACTTCCTGTAAATGGCAGTGATCGATGGAAATCGGCAGAAGTACCCCGCCGCCGAACT